CCGTGAGTCAGCCGTTCCGTTCGGAAATCCTTTCAAATTCACGGTTTACGAGTTCTGACCAATGTCCATTTCTTTCCATGGGTTACGGTAGAGAAGGCATTTGGTATTGAAATCGGAGAGAGAATTGAGAGGGGGTAGAGTGAGTAGAGAGGGGGTGAGAGACGGGTGAGAATTATGAAAAGAAGAGAGAAATTAAAGAAATAAAGGTAGAAAAAAAGAAAAAATATCCAAAAAAAAACTAAAAAAATAATAAAAAATATAAAAAAACTCAAGAAAACCCCAAAAAATCAAAAAAATAGAGAACAAGAGATCAAGAAAACAAAGGAGAGTCCGGAGAAAGAAAGAGTGGAACGGCGAGATTAAAATCAACGTTCCGAGCTAAATATTAGAATAGAATATTGGAATTCAAATTGGTTTTTGGATATTATAATCAAAAACCGTGTCTCAGTCCAAAAAGAATGGCACAGAGTTTTAAAAAATTTCATATTACCCTATGTTACAGTAGGCAATTTTATAAATTTTAACTGTAAAATTTTTATACAAAAATTTAATGGAAAACAGATTTTTCTGTATCTAAACTACTTTTTCTTCTTCTCCCCCTCCTTTTTCCTCTCACATTTTTAAAAATTTAAACCTTTAAATTGCAATAGCCTTCCCTTCTCGTATAACAAGTACAAAGATCAAGTTAATTTCTCCAAAACTTTTATCAAACCTAAGAATAATCTGAAAAAAACGCGAAAAATTGCTTTGAAATGCAATTTTGGACCTCACGCAAAGAAGAGAATAACAGTATTGTAATGATAATATTTCTTTTCATACCTTCTAATCTACACCTGTGTCAAGTTTTTTTAAAACGAACGTAGTGCGATTCGGTGCCTGGCAAAAAAATGTATGAAGTTATAAAAAAATGCTTTGCCCTGCCCTGCCCTGCCCTGCCCTGCCCTGCCCTGCCCTGCCCTGCCCTGCCTTGCCCTGCCCTGCCCTGCCCTGCCCTGCCCTGCCCTGCCCTGCCCTGCCCTGCCCTGCCCTGCCCTGCCCTGCCTTGCCCTGTCTGCCCTGCCCTGCTCCGCCCTTCTTTACCTTATTCTTCTCTACCTTAATGTATCATATCTAACCCTACCCTATCCTATCTTAGCATGTCTTGCCCTACCTTGTCTTACACTATCATACCCTACCGCAATATCTACCTTACCATTACCTTAGCTTTACCAAGCCTCAGTTTTCGCTTAACTTTACTATAGCCCTATCCTATGTCCTATCTTGATATCATAGTTTTACTTTACCAAACAGCTATTTAAATCTTGTATCAGTCTTACATCATTCAAATCTTAGTCCTTTCTTAACTTCACCCTAAAACAGTACCAACACAATCACTTTGTCTACAACACTATACAAAAACCTAATTCATAACCATGTTCTACCTATAACATACCCAAACTCCTTGAAGCCTTTCCCCGTAAACACCCGCCATAAGAAAGTTAATTAACAAAAGATTAATGTCCCAGGACTGTTTACAAATCTGCATTTCAATGACGTTCTAAAATTAGTTCACTTGGAGTTGTTCGTTATCGTTTTCGACGAAATGTAGTTGTTATCAGTGCTCAAAGTATATTGTTTGTGGGTCATGGTGGTTAAGGTAGTTGTTCGAGAACGACCTTTTGTAAAAGGTAGTGTTTTGCACGTCTTTTTTGAAATTTAAAAGAAATAAAAGTTCTTAAAAAATATCTAAATATCAAAAAAGTCTTGTCGTTTTGTACTGTGAGTAGTAGTTTAAATTGGCGACAAGATTTTATTCTTAGGCTAGTAACAAGAAAATTTTTTTAAAAATTTATATTAACTAAAGAGTGGTAAAAAAAGTAGTATAAAAATTTACATTTTAAACCTAATTGTTTTTACTATTCTTGCCTATCTTCTCCTTCTCTTATACTCTTACTGTAAAAGAACGCGCAGAGAAAAAACTTTTAAAAGTAGTAGTTAGACCTAAAAGAGGACCCACTAAGCCTAAGCTGTGCCGAAGAAATGTTAAAAGAGAACGGATCGAGTCATTATACGTGGGCCTGAGGGTCTAAACCCAAACCTCATAAGCTGGGCCGAAAAAATTGAACCCCGGTTTTTTGCAAATCTAATTGTGAAAAATTATGCAAATTTTTAAAAATTAAGAAAAATTTATTTTAAATTAAATTTATTTTTTCATTTTGAACTTTCGAGGAAACCCCTTCTTTGCCTTATCAGTAGACTTATTTAAAGCAGACAACCAGACCCCTGAGTAACCTGTAGTTTCAAGCTTATTCTTCGAAATCATTAGACAAAATTCGTGTTGATAACAAATATCTGAAAGGTTTGACAAAAACATTTTCAAGTTTTTTATTTACAACTGGCAAATTGAATTTTTTTATTCTTTTATGATTGAATTTTTGAAAATATGTAAAATACGGTAAATTTAGGTCACTTCAATTTTATTTATTTTTTAATTTTCAGTTTTTTTATTTTGCTTTCTTCAATCGTCTATAATTACAACTTCAAGACGTATAACTAGGTTAGTTGACAAGCTGATGAAGTACATAGTAACGTACGGTGCTGAGGTTTAAAAATGCAGAAAAAAGCCGATAGTGCTCCTTATATTTGACGTATCTCGTAGTTGGGTCATTCAGGTATTTCATTGTTTCTAGAGTCTATAAGGGTAGGTTAGAATAGGGTAAGGAATACTGACAACATTGCTGTTGATCTTTTAATACCTAAATCAGACCTTTCGATACCTAAAACAGTCTGTCGCTCATGCGTTCGGTTTCAGCTGGCACACGGTCGTACCGAAGCACGTTCCAACATTCTTGTTTGCAGAGGTTTGTTTGTTTTGACCCCTTAAGTGAGGGAGGGGGGCTTCCTTGTTCCCGGGCGTGACCACTCTTGTTGATTGACCAAAATTACAAAAAATACGAAAACAGGTTTAATCATGACAATTGAAATCTTTAAATTTTATTCAAACTGACTAATATCCGGATAGTCAATGTTAAAATACGTCAAGCGCAAATCGAATAATTTTAAAATTTTAAATTAAAAACCAATAGAATAGGTATCAAAAACCACTCCTTGATACACTTTAAACTTTAGTTGTACTCTTGTTTTCCTTTGCTTCTGGAGAAATGGCTGATAATGACATTATCCTATTACACTTATCAGTTGTTTGTTAACAGAGATCTATTTTTATAGACTTATCACTTCTTTTAGGTTACATTCAAAAGTTTCTAAACTTAATTTTTTAATTTTTTTAATTAAAAATTTATAAAAAAGTTTTTAAAAAAGGTAAAATACGTTTGACGGTCGATTAACGAACAACCTTGATATATTCAGCCAACGTTTTACAGTGCAATTAAGAGTTCTCTATACGAAAGCCTCCTTATAAAAAACAAATTAAACATCCTCAAGCCATTCGTTATACAAGAGTACTACATTAATTTTAAAATTTAAAAAAAAATTTTATTTTACAGTATGTTTTATAGTTTCAAGTCAAAGTTTAATAAAAACGCTGACAATGCCCAAACTAATGATACACTAGTGATAAGGCTGTTTTTGTTTTTCTTGAAACAACCAAACGTCTGTCACAGAACGGTGCGAACAGCTCGTGAACAAACAGTTATCACATCGTTTTGCATTAAAACATAAAACTACAAAAACCATATACTAAAACTAACATTTTACTTATATGACACATAATTTATCTAATACAACATTAAAAAAAATAAAAATCTACTACTATATGGCCCCAAACTGTAAATCACTACATCATTCCCTTAACCATCTTACCACGCCACCCCTATCATACCTTCAACCGTCGCCACCCCTGCCATCAAGACTTACCTATAACACCCATATTATTATTAATACTATGTGAAATACGTCACAATCCTTAGCACATTGCTGTTACTCTTACCTGTTATGTTAATCGGCCAAAATCCCCCGCCGCCCTAACAAAGTAAAATCCTCCCGAAATACGCAATTGTGACGTATTTTACCCTCGGAATATTACCGTATCTTCCGCGATTTCCAAATTTCTAACCTTTTTTTCTTAATTTACTTGCCCAGTAATCCGGGACCAACATACGACGATGGTTGGGGAACAACACTTGATAGTACATATTGAAGTAGCATTTTCAAAAATTTTGAAAAATTTTGAGTTTTGAGGGTATTGTACTTTGAACTTTTAGGTAATGACAATATATTATTTAATTGTCACATACAGTGAAACTTCTGTATAACAAATGGCTTGGGGATGTTAAACTTGTTCGTTATAATAGTTTTGGTACAAAAAGCTCTTAACTTGCACTATGTAATAGCATATTATATAGGTAAATTAGTCCAGTCCAGCCCCGTTTTAGGTTTAGTTATCAGGTTGTTCTCTTAATACTGCATCCCTTCTCAAAGCAAATTTGTGGAGTACGGGGCGCAAAATAAAATTATGTGAAAAACCTAATATAAGGAATTTTTGTTATAATGGAGATTGTTATACAGGAGTTTCACTCTACTGTTGATTATATATTGTAAATTTTTCAATAAATTTCGTAACATTTAAAAAAAATTTTTTTTTTCCTTTTTTAAAAATTTTTATTTTTTGTATTTTTTTGTATTTTTGCATTATCTGTCCTCGTATTTAACACTTTCTTTACCTATTTTTGTCATAAATATAAATCCAATAAATTTTGTGACATTTCGTCTAAAATAAGTTTTCCTAATTATTTTTTTTGAATCTTCATTTTTCTGGTATACCACCGGTATTTTTCCAATTTTCAGGCATAAATTTAGGTTTTGTGTTTATTTCACTTCGTATTTTACCTTCCTTCTAGCAATCTTTTTCCACATTTTTTCAATTCTCAAAAATATATTACCTAAAATAATATAGATTTATTAAATCTCTCACTCGATATTTCGATTTCTGATAATTATGGCAATGTAAAGTGGAAACACTCCCAAATCTAATCTTTGTGTTATAGATCTGGTTCGTTGCTTCATGGCAGGGCGGTGGTACCGTTCTCTTTTATGCTCTCGTCGCTGGCTAAAACAATATATATTGAGGTAGGTTTTGAAGAGTTTTGAAGGAAAAATGAATTTTTTACAATTTATAATGTCTGGTCTATGTTAATATAATTATTTTTTATATTTTTACTTTCTGATTTCGGGTTTTGAAGTTTAAAAAATTAATGATTTGTTGCCTAAAACTCTAAATTTGTCGTAGTTTAGGTATGATTTTAGGGGAAAAACGATTTTTTTCAATTTTTTGATGTTTATACTAAGATAATATAACAATATATGGCCTTTTTATCTCCATTTTTAGTTTCAAAATTCAAAAAATTGATTATTTATTACCTAAAACTTTAAATTTTCTCTTATTTTAGGTAACAACCCAAATCCAAACTCAAAAACCCTTAATAAAGCTTACCCTGATCAAGTTCCTGCACAAGGTCCGTCATGTTGCTTGTGATGGCCTCAGCAGCGTTGAGCAGATCACCTTGAAGTTGTGTTATCTCGGGGAATGGTGCTGGCTCGCTTTGGCGGAAAGCGTTTGTTATCATTGTGCCAAGCCCATTCAACTCTTCTGGATTCACGCCCAAAGCCAACGGTCGTTTGGTTTGGCCGTCCGATGGAGTCTGGAGAGGTGGGTTTAGATTTTTTTTGAAATTTTGAAATTTAAAGAGGGTAGCGTAAAGTAAGGTAGCGATGGGTAGGGTAGGGTTTTGTAGGGTAGCTAAGGAGGGTAGTGTAGGGCAATGTATGACATGATATGTTAAAGTAAGGTAAAATAAGGCAAAACAAAGCTAGTGGCAGGCTTAAAACCAAACCAACTCACATTAAGTTGTACCATCAACCTCTCGAGCTGTTGCATCAACTGTCTCCTGACCTGTTGTTTCTCCCTCATTTTGGCTTCCAATTCGGCCGTTCTGTCACGAATCCCTGCCAAATGGGGTGAGCTGTCTACTAAATGTTGTTGTTGTTCCATCATTGCCATTTCTCTTAACATTTCATTGTTCTCCTCTTCTAACTGAGCTATCACTGCTCTCTCATCAATAACATCAGCGATTGGGCCGACACGTTTTAGCTTTTTGAGGGTTGGAACGTGCTGAAATTGAAATTTAAAAAAAATTTTAAATAGGTAAAATTTACTTACTACTCCCCCCCCCCCTCAAATTTAAAATTACTCCTCCGTCTCCCCCCCCTCAAACAAAAAAAACCCGCCCAATAAAAATACATGCCAAAACATAACCTACACTAGTCCTCCCAGCCAACTTGGCAGCATATCGTGCTATCAGTTTGTGCTCGTCGTCCATGGCGTACCCGTTACCGTACTGTCCCGGCAGCAGTCCAGACGTCCATTCGTTGATCGGCTCTGGGGGTTGTTGATAGCGATTTGAGGATGGGGTCATTGGCACAATGTTGGACAGGTCGAGGTATCGTTGAGGTCGAGGTTCGAAGACGCGCTCCGACTTCTGCGACACTAGTGGCATACATTGGAGGGATTTGTGGATGGAATGGGCGATTTGCTTTGTCGGGGATTTCTGAAAGGTTTAGGGGGTGATATAGGGTAGGGTAAGTTAGATCAGAGTAAAGAGAAGAATAAGCTAAGTAAAAATTTTGTAGGACCAGGTTACGCTATCTGAACCACTAAATGTTACACTTACATAACTAGAATACTCTTTCATTTCATGCTCATTCGAGTGAGATTGACTGATCCGCCCCCTCCAAAAGCAAGATTGGCACAGCTGATAGTTCGGACACCTCTGACATTTGTATCTAAACCCAGTGAACGATCGTGCTTGGCAAGCATCACACACTACAGGATGATACACATGCTCCACCGACGCCATTCGATGCAACAGCGGTAGCCACATGAGGCACGGTGGACAGGATTCGCCCATTATTGTGTCCAAAAACAGATTCAAACTGACTTCGGTCGAGGGTTTGAAACATTGTTGAAGCGAGGTCTCGGAGAAGCCAAAGGTCGGGGCCTCGAAGACGGCCGTGGGCAGGGCGAGGACTTGTTGTAGGTACTCGGAGAACTTTTCGTATTCCATTCGACCGGTCGAGTCTGAGATTTGGGAGAAGACATCTGGAAATTTTAGGGTTGATTAACCTTGGCGTAAATTTAAAAATTGAGGATTTTTGAGCGGGGTAATTTGCTTTTTTTTGAACGGGGGGGGGGAAGGTGTGGGGTGATAAAACAAATTTTTTAAAAGATTGATAAAGCTGGTTTTAAAATCTTATAAAAAAAATTGTTTTTTAGCGGGCGGGGTAAAAAAAATTTTTTTTGGGATGGGGTGGTAGAACTTTTTTTTTGTATTATGTTTTACAAATCAACTGAAAGGTCAAAAACATATTTTATTTAAATTTAAGGGCGTTGTAAAAAATTAGGGGGGGGGGTGGACTTTCAAATTTTTTTTTATTTCAAAAACCCCAGTTGCCATTTCAAACTTACATCTCAGCTTATCTACCAATTTACCCGCACACAATGTGGCCAACCCAATTTTCGTAGCAAATACCGTAACCCGGTTGATATGTTGTCGATCGTAGGCGCCTAACATAAAACTCAGTAAAGAAGAGATACTCTTGTCCGTGTCAACGTGCTGTGAGGTCGGTAATCGTTTGTTGAGATTGTGGAAGATACTGGTCAATAGGAGTTCTAGGCGAGATAGTTTTAGACTGGCTGTGATTGGCATGGCGTTCAGGCCGTTCTCTCGAAAGGCTTCGATCATGTCCCATATTCCTACTAGGTGGACTGAAATTAGAGGGAATGTTATGAAAGGGTAGGGTGAAATGGTAAATAAAGTGTCGCAATTTTATGCTAGGTGTTAACACAGTAAAGTTTAGTAAAAGTAGGGCTGTGTAGGCAAGAAATGGTATGGTGAGGGCAGGGTAACTTATGTTACGGTAGGACAGGGTAAACTATGGTACGGTGAGGTAAAGCATTTCGGTACTGGGACGTAGACTAGGTTATGGAACGGTGGGTAGAGTAGGATGAATTATGTTATGGTAGAGCAGTGTAAGTTATGTTACGGTGAAGTAAGGTAAGTTATAGTACGGTGGGGTTGGGTAGGGAAGCACAGGGTAGAACAGGTCAGGGTAGGTTAAATTAGGGTAAAGAATGCTTAACTATGATAGATTAGGGTACTATATGGTCAAATTCTAAAGTAAGGTACCACTAAGATATAAATTAACCTACCGTTGGTCTTTTTCTGAATAAAACGAAGTTTGCACGCGGTTCTGTAAGTTGCAAATCTAATCGAGTCAAAGTCTTGGACGCCTGAAAAAGACATTCTATAATATTTTTTTCAATATAAAATTTTTTTTGTTTTAAATTTCAAAATTTGTAATTTTCTTTGTTCGCCATGCCCTTTTGCAAACCCCCCTTCCCCATTTTCCCTTTCCCTTACCCCCTCCCTGTCCCAATATTTTGTTTTTGCAAAGAAAATCCGGAGATTATGCTAATCAGTTATGGCTAAGTTTGTTACACTTTTGGCATTAAGGCAGTGGGAGGGCCAAGTTTCTCAATGTTTGGCAATTTTGTTTTGAACTTTGGACCAAAAATGGTGGAAAAGTGCATTTTATGGATTTTATTGCGTTTGTAAACAAAGGTAATGGGCTCTACTTTTCTGTACTATAACCGTGTTTTTATATTAGTACTAGTATGTACTATAACATTATTATAGTATTAGTACTATTGTGTACTACAATGCTATTGTAGTACTAAAGAATGCTATACAAGGCTTTTAAAGGTTTAAAAAAATTTTTGTTGTGAATTAAGAAAGTCTTGTCGTTTTTTACAGTGCAAGTACATATAATTTTGCGACAAGACTTTTTAAACGCTCTATATTGATCTTATAATTGGTTTAAACTGGTCTCAAAAGCATTTTTTATAGCTGTTAGCGTCCATATCGCTATGAACACTCATAGATAATATCAGTACAAAGCCGTATCCAAATAAAAAACAAAAAAAGCTCTTCAAAAAGACCAAAAACTGCCAAAAAATCTTAAAAACGGCCGAAATTTATCTCAAAACCTCTGAAAAACCCTACAATATCTCCAATTTTAAGCCAAAAAACCTACGCATCTGATCGATGAGGGACTGTAGCTCATCGCCATTGTTGGCCGGGGTGACGGTGTGATCGGGCTGGTTCACAGGCGGCGGCCACATGGTCATTACATAGGGGAAGCGCGTCCTTTTTGAGTGCAATTTTTTGCAGAAGTGAGGCCAAGAAAAAGTCTCTTTTGCACTCTCTCGCTTTCAACCCGATGGCACGGCCCTCGGGGCAGAAAGCGGGGAGAGGGAAAAGACGGGCCCGATTCCCTTTCGGTCGATTCCCTTTTCACCAGCTTTTTTCGGGGCCGCTAATTCTACCGGCCCTCCCGAATTGCATCGATTCCCTTTCGGCCGCCCAACGTTCAAAACACAAAACAAGTTTGGGTTGATTTTAGGTGGTCTATTCGGCCATTTTTAGCTGTTTTAGGGTCTTTTTATTTATAGTTTTGGGGTGTTTTCCTAAATTAGTAGGTTCAGTACAGGGCCGTTTTATAAGCTAGTAGAACGGTCTTCTAAGTACAGTAGTACTCCTGTAATAGGCTGATTTTAGGTAGCTCACTAAGCTATTTTTAGCGTTTTTAGGGTTTTTTATTTATAGATTTAGGTTATTTTCTAGCTTTAGTACATGGCCGTACTTATAAGTTAGTATTAGGTTTTTCAAATAATTCTGTGCTTCCTAATCCTAAAAATTTGCTTTAAGAAGGGCGCAGATTTAGTTGAAGAACATAATCAAAGTAGCTGTTCAGACTTAAAAATCATATCTTTGCTATTTCATTTTACAAACTTAACAATGATGACGTCTCCTTTTTAAAATTAATCTTCTTAGTTTATGTCCGGGAAATAAACATACGGCTTCGAATGTCAGTGGTTTGTTTTGTCTGAAATTTAAGATTAATTGACTTGTTTTTCACAGAAAAATATATTTTTAGCAAAGGTAGATAATTGAAGGATAACAGTGACGTAGTTTCTGTGTCTAGCAAAGTTTTTTATGTACACCTGCGAAAAATTTTATAATGGGTAAGAAAGGTTGAGGTAGGATAGAGTATGGTAGAGTAGAGTAATACAGTTTAAGGTAGAGTAGGGCAGGGTAGGGTGTTTTAAAAAAACTATTAATTTTACACTACAGTATCTTTTTTAAACCGCGAATAATCATCTGGGATAGGTTAGGTTAGAAATTGGCATAGTGTTTTAAGCTTGCAACTTTGTCAGCTTTTGACGTTGAGGTCTTCCCTTGTTAGACCTTTTGGATTACCTAAACATATTTTATTTACAAGCCTAATATTTCACCACACACTATCATAAGCGAAGTATATTTTCAAAGATTTCGCTGATTCCTTTCAATGAATCATTTCCGACTTCCGTATTTCGTGCCAATTAGCCCTGAAGGCCTGCAGTTTTGTTTTTCTTGTTTCGTAATTAAAACCTCACGTAGTTTTTAGGTAATAAGGGATTATAATATTATGGTTTGTCAGCTAAATATAAATGTTGCGGGTAAATCTTGTCTTGAAATAGTTGTGGCTATATTTGTCATGTTTGCATGTTGGATATGAGGTGGATTTGGAAGGGGGGGGGGAGTGGGAGGATGATTTATGAGGTCTTTTTTAATAGGCTGATATAGATTTTGGAAAAAATTGATATAGTGGCATCACAGTGAGTATCGTGGTTCGTCTTGTACTGTAATTCCATTCTTTTTGTCTCGAGGTTTCAAAAAATGCCTGAGGGCTGAAGCAACGGTCGGAAAACCAGTTCTTGTTTTTTCTCTTTTGTAGTATATCTTTATTAACAGTATTGTATATTGTCTTCCTCTTATGACAAACTTATTACTTACTACGTCTACATTAAGTTATCTTGTCCTTCAAAACAAGATTAATGTAATAGGTTTGTCCTCCTCCTCCTCGTTTTGAAACCCGAGCTTAAAAATTGAAGGAGGAACAGGAATGAATGACATGACATCGAAAAACAGCTGAGACAGTCGGAAACATAAAAACCATAAAGCACATTAATGTTGTAATAAATGCATCACAGACTTTGATGACTCAATGGTTTGTTCAAGTATTGGGTTGTACAAATAGTTCTGTGCCCCTAACCTTAAAAATTTTATTTGAGAGGGTGCACAGAATTATTTGAAAAACCTAATACTATATTTAAACGTAGACATAATTTGCAAATTGAAATTTTAGAACTACCAATACAGGCTGGTAAAACATACTGTAAGGTGATAAGGTCAAGCATGACATTAAATTTTTAAAATTACAACAAAAAATGGAGTAAAAAGCAGTTAAAATCAATAAAGAAAACAACGCTAATAAAAAAGGAACATGAAATTTTGATACAGGAAACAAACTTGCAAAGAAACATTAATTTGAAAGTTGTTCCTTAATTAATGAGAAAACAGACGGCTTAAAAGTTCCAGCTCTAAATTTATGTTTTATGGCAGTTCGGGAGACCTTCAACAATTTTATAGTGGAAATACTGGCTTTAAAACAGCAAAAAAGTTAAAAGATTCAAGTTTAGTACCAAGAGTACCATTTGTCGTTGAACAAAACCAGGTTAGTTCTGTACGGTGAAGTGCTATTTAAAACTACAGTGCTTTTATAGTCTGTACTAGGATTCATCTGTAAAAGACCTTACTAGATTCAACTCTACTCTGACTCCAGCCCCAGCTCAGCAGCCTTTTAAGGGGGTTGAATCGGATTGTGCGGGCCCATAGAACAAAATGAAGGCCCCACGGGCTCAACGTAGGCTCTGCAAGAACAAGAGATTTGGCTTGCAAAACTAAATTATTGGTCATTTAGGGCACAGGAGCAGTACTATACTAGTTGTTTTAGTTATTATTTTAAGGAATTTATAAAAGGGCCGGGCCTTAAGTTTGAAAAGGACCGTCTCCGGAGGCACGGGACTATAATAATCGTTAGTCTGTAAAATCGGACTAGCTTCTATCTCTTTTACAGGTTTATGCCTCATCTAGGCTAAAGTAAAGATTTTTATTGCAAATGTATGCATCACAAGAACCTTTGGGATGTATTCATTTGCAAAAGATCAGTCATTATTATTGATCAAAAGCTTTGGTCGAAATTTGTTTTGACCCAAACCTCATGGCTAGACAAGAAAAAAAAAATTAATTTCGACATTGAATGATAGATGAACGCCGTTCTGAAATGGCATATTACTCAAGGTCTTGGATGAGTAATATCCACTTGAAATATGCTTTTTGAAATTTGAAGTTTAAAAATTCTATACTTTTTTAAAAGCTTGAAAAATACATTTTTTGAAAAAAAATTTCAAATTAAAATTTTAAATTTCAAAAAATAGGCTATGAAAATTTTTAAAATCAATTTAAAATTTTAAAAAGTTTTTTAAAAAATCATATCTACCTTCAAAGTACAGTAATTATTTTTGTTTTTATAACCACGACCGCCTTCGAAATGTCACAAAAACTGTTTTTTTTATTTCGCTAGGCCTCCCACTCTTGATCAGCACCTGGCACAAAAATAATCGCAAAAAAGTCGGGCCGGAAAACAAAAGATTGCCTCGGGGCATTTTGTGTCCCAATCGCTCCATTTTCACACATTTTTGTTCTACTTTTTGGTTAAAGTTATGCCATTACAAATACGAGATGAAAGTGTGTTTTGTCTCGACTTTACGCATCAGGTAAGGGCTACTGTAATATTGGTTTTTAAAGTTTTGAAATTATGTAAAATTGGGTAGAATAATAGATTTTTAAGCTATATGCGACTAAAAAAATTAGAACTTTAGCTAAATAAACAAAAAATTTGATGAAAATGATAATTTTTATGACTTATGGCATGAACGTTAAAGCACTTTCCTATATATTTATACTTTCAAGAGCCTAGGAAGTAAGTTGGCCACGTGCAAAAACAAAGTCTTATTTACGACAATATTTATAAGATTTATTTCAAAAATCAATCAATTTTAAAGTAGACTACAGGTCATTTTTTTGGCATTGATTTGCAAATAGGTACTATGTGATTTGCATTGAAATAAAATTTTTATTTATAAAACCTTTCTTAAAGTTTGTATTAAAATAAAAATATGTATGGTATCAAAAAAGTGTTTGAAACACAATGCCAAAGTTGCCAAATTGGCAGGGACTCAAATATTTCAATTTTAAAATGCAAAATCACGAGGTGAAACTTTTATGTATATTAGTACTAGTACAAAAAATTCATATAAAAAATTTTAGTTGATTTTGAGTAAGACAGATTAGGTACTTTCTTTGTAAGGTTCAAGTTTCCTCTCTTGTCACTTCAGTTTGGAAAGTCGTATTTTACAATTTTTGTTAAAAAATTATAAAAAATATTGAAGTGTGATGAATTTGAATAAAAATTTGTTTTATGACATAAAAAGTTCTATTCTTTTACAAAAAGTCATTATAATAAGTCTTTTCAGAGACAAAAGAACTTTAGTCCATTTGAAATCACTATTCCTGAATTGGTCTACAAAAAGGGTACCAACAGTCAAACAGCCTTTATTTTTGACTCAGAACGGATGAGTTTCAGCTTTGAAATGATCAAAATGGAGGTAAGTCAATGGGTTTTTTATGCTTTACTACAGTGTAACTCTTGTATAAATGAACTTTTCTTCAAAGAACTTTCATATTTACGATTGGTTGTAAAGGAGTTCTACTGTATTAGGTTTACCTTTTCTACTTTTTTTTCTAGCAGGGATGACCAGACTACGTATTTTACATAACTAATTACAGATGGAATACTTGGCTACTGGTTTTGTTGCAACGGGTTTGAAGAACATGGATCGTATTTTAATTTGTGGTCACAATCACAGTCAGGTTTTGCTATCAGCTTTGGCCGCTTCTCGTGCTGGACTAGTGTTTTCTTTGGTTGGAGCCAATTCTATTGCTAAACCTGAACAATTGGAACATCTACTGAGAACGGTGGGGTTTTACTGTGACTTGCACTAACAAAAGCTTTGTTTTTAGGCCCGGGTAGGACAGGTTTTTTAGGGAAGGGGGGGGAAGGGGCGGGGAATAATTTTTTTTTTAATTTTGGGGGAGGGTAGGGTAAAAACACAAATTTTGTAAAATACGTACTTTCGAAATCGTATGGTACATGCTATAATATATTGTTATCTTAATAATTTTAAAACTTTTTGAAATAAAAGCCTTCAGGGTGAATTCCGAGCAGTAATTCTATTTTCCTCACCAAATGGCGGTGGATCTGATGCCATGTACGACCTGGTAGAAAGTCTATGCCCAGAAATCAAAAAATGTGTCAGAAGCAAGCTAAAGTCAGCCAGGTTGCCTAAGCTTACTCATGTTATACTGGGTGACGAAGATCACAAACATGCGTAAGTTTTAAAATTAATATTTTATATATTTTTAAAAAGATGTTACAGATCTTGCCGTTTGTTGCCTTGAAGATCCAGATAGTTTGGTTGGGTAGGGTATTAGAAAGGGACTATTAAAGAAGTCAATTTCAGAGGTACGTGGACATTGTCTGAGATTTACGGGAAATGTACGCCGCCGCGGATGGAAAAGCTTCCAAATTACTTGCAGTGGAACTCTCATCGTTTGGCTTGTATTCAGTTTACTTTGGTAAGTTTTGGAAAATTTTTTTAAATTTAAATTTAAGCCTATCGAAATTACTTTTAACTTGCATTTTAGTAAAGGCTCAAACATTAATATCAAAAATTTTTTTTTGTTTTAAAAATTTAAATTTTAGGGCTCAACCGGACCTCCAAAAGCAGCAGGCTTATCACATTATCAACTGATTAATGGCTGTCGAATCGCTTCAAATATTATTGGAATTCGAAAAGGAGTAAGTGAATAATGAAAAATTTATCGTATTTTACATTTTATTATTTTTTTGATTGATAAAGGAACTGCTTTTCGTTCGTTATATTATACAAAAGTTTTACTGTACATAAACATAAATTTAAAAAATTTAAAATTTTTGTTGATTTCAGAGCATCATGGCATGCGCATTGCCATTATACCGCATACCTGTATTTGGATTAGTAGCTTTCACGCCTTTTATGTTTGAAAGTCGTACTATCATTTCTGAGCCTTCACCAGTACCTAGAATGCTCATCAGTTCTATTTTAATGCATCGGTAGGGCATTTTAACTGTATTTGTACTATGTTGTAACAGATGTAGCACATTAGAACATATTTCAGTAAAATCTAAAGTATATACTGTATTTAACAAAAAATGGAGCATTACTGTAAGATCAAGAGATACATTACTTTCGAGCTAACACAATATATTCTTAATGACATTTCAGATGCACTCACCTTGTATCAAACTCAATTGCTATTAGATTGTTGTTAAAAATGGCAATGGCACAAAAAGTTACAGTACCTTCGGTAGAAACAGTAATATTGTTGGGTGACCGGGTTGGCCGTGAATTGTTGGCCAGTTTGGAGAAAATCATGAAAAACGCTAAAAGAATTGCTGTAAGTTTAATTTACTGTATGTGTTTGAGTTGAAGACACCTTACCTAATCTTATCCTAGTCTGACTCTGCCCTAGCCCTACTTTGGCTCCAGCCCTGTTCTACCTTAACTTAATCTCGGTCTTACTCTAATCCTATCTTAGCATGTTCAATTGATTTTAGATTTTTTAAAATTTTTTGATATCTTTAAAATGGCAATTTATAAAAATTCAATAATATGCATTTTAGGTTGGTATGTTGTTGACTGAAATAGGTACAGCTCCGGTAATCAGTGATAATACAACAAATTTGATCAAATCAATTGGTAAAGCCCTTCAAGGATATCAGGTAGGCTAAAACTTTATAAAAAATTATTTGTGGGATTAAAATTAATGTAAAATACGTATAACTATCTTATGGGTTAAGATTAATTTTTCGTTCAATTAAAAAAGTTTTATTTTCTAAAATTTTGTATTTTAGACGTATATCTGTAATTAGACATCATTTTGTTTATTTTAGGTAGATATCAAGCCAATTCCAAAGCTTCAAAGCTCGAACGGACATACGATTGGAGAGTTGAGAGTAAAACCTTTGGAGAAGACAAAGTTCATGGGTTATGGACCTGATTTTAATGCCAATTTGGACTGGATTGATACTGGGTAAGGGCTTAAAAATTTTGATTTGAAATGCAGTTTTTTCAAATTTTAAATTGAATTTTAAAGCGACTTTTGTCTTTTTTTATTTTCATAGTTTTTGTTGGTACTGTACGGTATTATACTGTACTATACTTTGCTGTACTGTACTGTACTGTACGTGTAATGTAGCAAAGCTTTGAAAGTTTCCTTATGTTGTACTACATCAAACCTTACAGTGACATAGCTTCGATTACAAAGGATGGAAACGTCGAGATCCTGGCCAACAAATCTGATTTGATTTACGATCGAATGGATCATCTAGTTGAACATTGGAAAATGGAAAAGCTCATGGCGGAAGAATACGATGACATTAAGGGAGTTCAAGTGGTACAAACCTGCTCTGGTGCACCAGTCGTGGCCATAATCGTACCAAAAAAGCTGGACGAAATCCCACAGTTTTTCATGTCAGAGTTGATCAGTTTGTGTCGGAATAATAAGGTAAAATACGTCTTGATCCACATAAGATTCAAACTTTTTAATTTGAAAAAATTTCAAAATTAAAAAAAATTGTTTTAAAAAATTTTAAAAAAAAATTTTTTATTAAAAAATGAGTAAAATACGGCCAAGAACACGTATCAAACAAAAATACAAAAAGATGTTCAAAACTTGATTCAATTACCCCGAAAATGTCATTTTTAAATCGACCTTTGACCGAAAAAGATAAGTGTTTTCATATGCCATTTTCAGTTGTATGCACCGGACAAATTCGCCATTGTGGACGATTTCCCCAGAGTCAATACGCGTATTCAGAAGTTCAAGTTGAGGGAAATGTTGAAAAACAATTTGTTACGAACATATTAACCATGGTAATATTGCGTTATTAAATATTTTTAAAATTTTGAAAATAATGGGCTTTAGGTGAAGCGATTCATAGCGTAGGGGGGGGGGTAGAGCAATTTAGGGCAAAAACAAGTAAGGTAGGATAGGGTAGGGTAGAATAGGTGAGAGTAAGGTAAGGTAGTGTAAGGCAGGTATTCCAACGTTTTCTACACCATGCTGCTCTAAAACGTGAAACATCAACAGTAGTTTTCTAGCCAGAGCCTTAAGAATGTCGAAAGTTTTTTTTGCATTTTAAATTCCAAAGAGATCGCTGACATTGAAAAATTTAAACGCCGCTCTTTGATGACAAGTCCTAAATGTTTCGAGGACAATGGTCACAATTGTGGTCTTACTCTTTTACTCTTGGACATGCATGTATGTTTGTTGCTATTTTAAAGCAATCTAACTTAAAGAGGCAATGTTTTTGAACAAAATAAAATTATGGTAAATCAGGGAAAAAATAAAGTGCATAAGTAGTGTAAATATGTTCGGTATAGGACTAGGGTAGGGTTAAATAGACTTAGATTTTGGCTTGTTATGGTACTCATGAGCAGAGTTAGGGAATGTAGAACTGAGTTTGAGCTAGGTTACGGCGTCTGTTATTCTTAGCTTTTATTTTTTTCTTATATATTTTAGTATTATACAAACAGTTATATATTTAAAATATTTAGTATTTACTATCAAGAATACAGTATAATATTTTAAAAAAACAAAAATTATCCATAAATTTACAATAATATTTGAGCGTAATCTGTAAAATTTTTACAAAAACCGTAAAACAGCAAATGAAATCAATGACAGTATAAATGTCAATGTAGTATGAACTAAGACAGAAGCTGAAAATTCATAAACAGGTTCCATAATATCATCTAAATCATGAGCACCAGGTCGGAATTGGGCCAAAGAGCGAAGGTGAGGCTCCGCTTCTTCAGATGGCAAGAATACGACTTCTTCTGTGTCATAGGGCTCATCGGATTGTTCCTAAAACAACATTACTGTAAAGTTTAAAAGGTAGGGCAAGGCAAGGCAGAACAAGTTTACTTACTTCAATGGGCTCAGCTTCTACCAGAGCCTCTTTGAACTTGTCGCTTCCAATAAAGTTTTGATAAGAGTCTTTACTGTTAACTCTGATAACTTTAGCATCATTGATATCAGCTGGAAACACAATAGAAGCCAATGTTGTTGTAGTCGTTTCCTCATTGTGTTTATGGCTATGTTTGTGATGATGATGACCATGATGGTGCTTGGATTCTGTTTTTACTGAACCATCAGTGCTGTAGCTGTCATACAAAACTTCTTTAGTCTTTTTGGTACTTTTGGTACTATCAAAACTTTTGTCGTACGTTTTCTTGTTACCCTTATGACCATCGTATGTCTTTCCGGTCATATGTTTGGCATCTTTGTGAGCCTTTGACTTCTCTGCACTCTCTTTGTTCTCAACATCTCTCGTTTTATGTTTTTCTTCTTTTTCTTTGATTACGATCTTCTTGATCTCTTCAAATTCATTTTTCTCTTTATCAGCATCAAATTTGTCTCCATCTTTGAAATTTTCGTACAATTGTTTGGCGTATTCTGGAGTGTTACAGTCATCACCGTGCACACACCAGCAGCGGGTTCTGCCTAAAAATAAAAGTCTTATTGGATGATATGTGAAATTACGTATTTTACATTAAAAATTTAATTCATGTACAATAAGAATATATGCTAACGTTATCTAGCGTCCGTGCTATTTAATACTTTGTAACACCTATGTTGTTTTAGTTGTTTAAGAGTACGTTTATTATCCTGTATTATAATTGCCTTGAAGCTCCACCCTTACCAGCCTTTCTCTGTACACAACCACTCTGTTCCATCAAACCATATTCATTCTTGTATATACAAACAAGTTGATTCCGGTCGTATAATGCTGAATACTGATAAAACTGTATTGCATTATGATCGACTTTGATTCGACAACCAACTGAACCAGATGGACATCGTTCACTCACCAAGCCGTAGCCTGAAAAACAATTTTAAAATTGTTAAAATGATAGTCGTTTTTATGAAAAGTAGTTCACAAAAGCTTTTGAAAAGTGAAGGTATTGCTCTAAAAGCCGAGGAATACGCGGTGCAACTTTCTTGTTAGAAACAGAGCAGATCGCTCTTTGCCTTGCCCTGTCTTGCTCTTGTGCATGGAAAAGCAAGCCTTACTTTTAGACAAAATAGAACTTAGATAATGATATCAGGATTGATAATGATATCGGCTGTAGTTAGGAGAAGGCATGAAAAGGCTTGCTCTTGCGTAGATCAGAACTTGAAAGTAAGCATAGGCAAAGCAGGCATGACTCGGTTAAAGCTCTGTTTTACTGACTCAAAGCCTTTAACGTTTTTTAGCCATATCTTAAAAACCGGTCTGGCTATTCTAATATCCTTACCTGGCCTAGCCACCAAACAGCTGAGCCCATGCGCTCGCTGCGCCAGCGAAAGCCCAAAGGCCACGATGAGGATGTGTAACATGTTTGAATTGGAATTTAAATTCGGCGCATCACTGAAAAACGAAACAAGTCGGGGGGAACATTTGACATTACACGCAATGTGCCGATTTCTTCAAGAATTTAAAAAGTCGGAATGCCCGGAGGGCATTTGGTCGCGCATATGATAAATGGTCATAAAAGTGGGGCCGGAATGTGATTATGTCCTCGAATGTTCATCTTGGGCTGGGTTTTGAAATTTTTCAAAATTTAAATTTTTTTTTCACTTTTTAAAAAACTTAAAATTAAAATTTTTTTTTAATATGCAAATTTTTAAAATCAAATAATTTACAAAATTTTCAAAAAATTTTTAAAAATAGCTCAAGAAGAACATAGTAATCATTGCCCAAAGCCTTTGAACGAAGGCGGAGTAATTTATAGCCAAACAAAGGAACGGCCGAAGAATGACCGGTACGTTGAGAAAAAACATGAAACATGGGATAGAGGAGAACATGTCAATCATCATACACTGGCGAGATATGTATTATACGATGGCATGCGATATGTAAAACAAAGTAGGAGATATAAAGATATATGTATTATGAGATGGTTTTACATACATTTAAAGCAAAGTAATGTAAAAAGTTACTATATTAACACATAAAGCAGAGAAAAGTAAGATAAAACAGGCTAATGATTAGACAACGAGTAGAACTAGAACTAGCCATTCTAATATAATAGTAAGTCTGTCACAGATAAGTTGGAGTAAATTAAGGATGAGTAGGCCGAACTAGGGCTCTGGGCTAGGGCTCTGGGCTAGAGCTCTGGGCTAGGGCACTGGGCTAGGACTCTGGACTGGGTTAGTCAAAAAGTCTATGTTCAGTCATAATGCCAAAACTATAATATTATACTGAAGGTCAACAAGCGACAGCCGTCTTTTTTCTGGCATGGTAAATATGTATGAGCATTAGGTTGTGTAAACAAAATTTTAAGCGTCAATTCCTCGTTCCGTTTCGATGTATAAAAATCAACATACCACGACCACGAAGATGTAAAAACAAATTTAGCATATGTCATATGGTCAACATAAAGTCGATGTTATTTGAAAACATATCATGCTACGACTTTATTTTTGTTTTGGTATAAAAAATGTAAAAACAAGTGCTTATAGTATATATAAAAATGTTATATAAATGTATATGACAGTATTTTTAACATTTATTTAAGTATGTCATTAAATTTGAATTCGTATTTTACAAAAATTTAATTTCAAAAAATTCGCCATATATTATAGTTGACAAAGTAACGTTCGAAAGTAAAAGTCCTGCCCAATGCCGACGTAATTACTATGTTGTACAATTCAGCTATGGATATTTACAACTACGTAGTAATTAACTATGAGCAGTGAGAGCTGTGTCAGCTATTTGTAATAAATGTTTACTATTATTACTCAATTTTTAATATATTTTGACATTTAAAAATCAATATAATAAAAAATATTATTTTTTTCAATTTTTAAAATTTTTACATATAGAAAAATAGTTAATTGAACAGATAAGGCTAAGGCTCTTTATTTTTCTTTTTTAAGAAATGTGAGTCTTCTTACTAACTAGCCAGCAAATTTTCAGAATGTGTGTACTATAATATAATTTTATTTTTAGAAATTATTTTAATTTGATAAAAATAACTCTTTTTATAAAAAAAGACCATCATTAAATTCATTAGTAAAAAAATATATGCCAGCCAAACCCTAGGCCCATTCAGCCCTAATCTAGCTCTACCCCTGACCTGCTCTAGCCCGTTTTAGCCTAGCCTTAGCCATGCTCTAGCGGTATCATAGTCATATTCTTACTTTTGCCTTACCATCATCTTATTTTGATTCAAAACATTGCCACAATACGTTAAATATTATAATATCTCTAAAATAACACCAAACATACATGTCCAAGAGTAAAAGAGTAAGACCACAATTGTGACCATTGTTCTCAAAACATTTAGGACTTGTCATCAAAGAGCGGCGTTTAAATTTTTCAATGTCAGCGATCTCTTTGGAATTTAAAATGCAAAAAAAACTTTCGACATTCTTAAGGCTCTGGCTAGAAAACTACTGTTGATAAGTCAAAGTTGAAAGCAACATAGTATACAGTAAATACCCTACCCTACCCTACCCTACCCTACCCTACCCTACCCTACCCTACCCTACCCTACCCTACCCTACCCTACCCTACCCTACCCTACGCTATCCTACCCTACCCTACCCTACCCTAAATTTAATTACACACCCAATATCTCCCCCCCCCCTCCTTTAAAAAACAAATTACCGCTTCAACTTGGCGCATTGCCAAATCTGGCCCCAACCGAATTTAAATTGAAATTGGTCGTTTATGTCCCCGGCTCCTCTTTATGCAATTATTTCTCGCACAATAGAAGCCGGCTTTAACCCAATTTGGCATTAAGATTGTCATCGGATATATCGACGTATGTTTTTTGAGGCCGTTATACGACGCGGCGTGGGAATGAGCCACAAACAAAAACAAAAGTCATATTCGACGATTGGAATACCATTTCGGATTTGATTTCGGAATTAATTGTTGACAGAAAAAATGTGTGGCCAGAGGAAGTTGGACACAGAACAAAGTTAGTTAACTTGGCGGAACAAACAAAATGTGCTAAATCAAAACAAAGTTTAAAAAATAACTGAGCGATTATAAAAAGGCTTAAAAAGTTTGGTACTAGCTATTTACTACTTGTAAATAAATTTAAAAAAATTTTTTATTGTTAGTATTAGCATAATAAATTAGATTATCAAATCGCTCAAAAATTAAAAAAAAAGAATAAAATTGCTTGTCATAAATTGGTTATACATAAGTTTTGAATACGTTGCGTAACAATATCCAAAAATTTAAAAGTTGTTCTTTATACCGTTTTTTGTTGTACAAGAGTTACTGTATAAGGCTTTGGGAAAAACATAATGCCAATCGTTCAAGTTTTAAAGTAAGTGTTGAAACTAAATAAAATTAAAAATATTTTAACTGTGTTAAGCCAAATTTAAGGTACTGTTAACCAAGTCAAAAAATTCAGTGAATCATCGGCTAAAATCTTTACAAATCAATGAAAAGCTAAATTAAAATTTTTTTTAAACAAAAATTTTCTAAAAAATATTTAAACGTACAGTAGAATCTCCGTATAAGGAACCTCTACATAACGAATCCCCTGTATTACAAACCACTTTTGAATCCCCAGCTATCATTACACAGTGCATTTTAAATTTCTCTATAACAAAACCTCTTTATAACGAACAAATTTTAATGTATCTAGCAATTTGTTATACAAAGGTTTTGCTGTAGTTTTATGTGAATTCTAATAAATTAGTTAAAAATCAAAATTATCAACTAAAAATTTTAAAAAAATTTTTCTCGTTTTAACTTGTCTCATCCTATCGGTTCGTCTACCAAAGAATATTATCCGAAAAACAGCACAGATAATTAGAAAATGAACAAAAATCTGTGGGTTAATTTTAAAAAGTGCAAAATTAACAAAAGTTTTGTGAAAAAATAGTCGTGACTTTAAAATTGTCCCTATCTTTCAAATTAGAATACAAAAGAAAACAAGTCTTTTTTGTAATGAGTAGGCAACGCTTTGAAATAGTAAAGACATGTTTTAGATCTTCTACAAAACGTATTTTTTACACAAAATTGAAACAAGGTTATAAAGTCTAGTATTATATAAAATTAAGAAATAAAAGTTTTTGCCAATACAATTTACCTACCAAGCTAATTGAATTTCACAACTGAAAGCTTGTAAACATTTGTTAATTTGATAGAATGTTTTAGTGTAATATAGAAATTAGCTTTTTAAAAGGTCACATTACAATTTGTGTACTAATTATTCACGCGAAGTTGTAATGTAAGTTCAGAATTCTTATAAGGTAAAGTGTAAAAGTAATAGTTTTATGTACTGTTAGTAGCACATTACAATTCTAAATAACTTTCTAATTTTAATAAAATTCATTTCTGCGTATTTTAAAATACATTAAAGAAATGCGCATTTTGCTTGATTTTAAAATTTTTAAAAAACATAGAGGCAGGGCAGAGCAGGGCAGGGCAGGGCAGGGCAGGGCAGGGCAGGGCAGGGCAGGGCAGCGCAGCGCAGGGCAGGGCAGGGCAGGGCAGGGCAGGGCAGGGCAGGGCAGGGCAGGGCAGGGCAGGGCAGGGCAGGGCAAGGCAAGGCATGGCAGGGCAAGGCAGGGCAAGGCAGGGCAAGGCAGGGCAGGGCAGGGCAGGGCAGGGCAGGGCAGGGCAGGGCAGGGCAGGGCAGGGCAGGGCAGGGCAGGGCAGGGCAAGGCAGGGCAGGGCAGGGCAGAGCAGGGCAGGGCAGGGCAGGGCAGGGCAGGGCAGAGCAAGGCAAGGCAAGGCAGGGCAGGGCAGGGCAGGGCAGGGCAGGGCAGGGCAGGGCAGGGCAGGGCAGGGCAGGGCAGGGCAGGGCAGGGCAGGGCAGGGCAGGGCAGGGCAGGGCATTTTCTCTCATTACCTCTCCTTTACTACTTGGCTTTCAATATAAATTATATCCTCGTGCAGGGCAACGCAGAGCAGAATACTTTGCTTTTTGTTCTACATTGATATGTTTTCTCAATAAGTTAATGACATTGTTTTAGTTTTTCCTGTAGGGTCTTATGACATTCATTTAAACTTTAATGCCTTCAATCATACATTCCTCCAAGCCATCATCTTCCCCACATTCCACATAGCTTTCCTTTCTTATTGTAGAATTCAAAAACACAAAGGCGATTGTGTGAATCATGTAACACTCCAGAATCCATTCCTAACATGCCAATTAAAAAAGTTACGCAAAATCCGGCTTTCTTCGACCAGCCGGCTAAGCCGATTTGTTGGCCTTGAGACAAGTTTTGCAACGAACCGAGCGGATCGTTGCAAATAAAAAAAATCGCTTTTCCGGCTCATCGACGTTTCATGTCGTCATCATGCGCGCAGACACATCCACGAAACGTGAACAACACATATGCAAATGACCGCTGGTGTGAGGTGAAAACACCGGTTTTGCTTTCGTTTAGCCGGATAGGGGGGAGGAGGGAAAAGAGAGAAAGGGAGATAGGAGAGAAGGGAAAGAGGAAAGACGAAAGAGAAAAAGCATAAAGCGAGAAATAAGAGACGGTAAAGAAAGAAAAGGGAACGGTGGACAAACAAAAATATTTAGGTGTACACGACATAATCATATCAAACATAAATATTTTTTTTTAAGTTTTAATTAGCTTTTTTAATCTTTCAAGGCAGAAAATCTGTCAGTTTGTAGCCATAAATTTAAAATTTTAATAAAAAAAAATCAAAAAATTGAATTTTTTTCACAGAGCAAAAACACAAATGAGGATATTGATGTCGTATTTTACCTAAAAAAACTCCAAAGATAAAGGTTAATAGTAAAAAAGTTTTAAAAATACACCAAAAACAGAACATTCATAGAATGCCCTATTAGCATAATTTATAAAAAAATTATTTAAATTTAGTTAAAAAAGTTAAGTTTTTAAATAAATTTATGTTTGTGGAGAAAATTTTACATTAAATAAGCAAACGTCGTATTTTACCTAAAAATGAAAAAAAATCCGAAAGATAATACTTAAAACCACGGCAAACAATACACAGTGCATTTAAAACTTCTGTATAACAAAACCTCTTCACAGCGAAAAAATTTTAATTTATTTAGCGATTTATTAAATAGAGGTCCCACAGTAGTTACTATCTAAAAAAACATACTTTAATATGAAATTTTTCGTTTTTTGTACAACTACCACAATAAAAATGTTTTTTAGAAATAGCAAGTAACATATAAAATATAAAAAAACTGTTAAACCTAATGAAAACATTACATCAGAGACGTTAGAGAAGTTATACAGTCGGACCTCCGTAGTACAACACTCAAGATACTAGGACGAAGTGCTACTGTAATCAGGATGGCACAGTATTTAGGTAATTTTCAATTGTGTTTTTTCTATTAGGTTGTTCAAATAATTCTGTGCCTCATCTCAAAGAAAATTTTTAAACTTTGAACAACTTACTAACAAAAGGCGATCGGAATGCTGTTATTATAAACAGAGTGTCATACTATCGAGATTTATACTAAAGAATTTTTACTGTAGTAACGTTTAAAATTAAAGTTTTAAATACTAGAGAATATGAAAGTATTATATAATGCAAAAAGAGAGACGACAAAGAAGCAGACAACTACAACAACACAGAGACGTCAGACAAGTCAGAGAACAAATAGTCACAATAACAACTGAGAAGTCTTCGAATATGACAATAGAGCAAGCGATCGGACAGCTGGACGGAAGGGAACGATAGCCGGCTAAAGGTAGCTGAAACCGGTTGGCGCTCCTCCCAACAGTGCCAGCTTATTTAAATACTCAACGCTGGCGTCAGTTCGGTCATCGTTGCGTCAATAACACCGGTCATCGGATACGCCGTCATGGTAAGCATAAGGTGGAGAGGAGTTTTGGAATAATTTTTGAAATATTGTTACAGTACACTTAATAGCGGCTTTTGAAGTTTAGTTACCGTAATTTTAGTAGTTTTGAAAAGTTCAGTACTGATTCTTTGATCGGAATTTTTGAACTATTAGTACAGTAATCGTTATAATATTTTTTGGAATATTGTTACAGTAACCTTAACAGTAGCTTTTAAACTGCAATTACCGTAAACTTTAGCCGTCGATTTAAAAGGTTGAGTACTGTAGTTTCAGTACTAGTTTGTGAATATAGGCTTGTATTTTAATAGTTGTAGTTAAGAAAAAATTACTGTAGTTTTTTAATAATGAGTTACAAGATTCGAATTAAGATTACTGTAGTTTTTAATAGCTTTAAAGCTTACAGAAATATAACGCACGATTAGTAGCAGTTACGACGTATGGTTACAGTACTTATAATAGCGTGTCTCAAAGTATAGATACTGCAGTTTTAATAAGAAGTTTTTGTGTTTTAGTTACTCTAGTTGTGCTACTAGCATTTACATGAGCTATCATAGTTTTTATAGTGTATTTTTAGTGTTTTATATGTGTTACTCTAGGATTAAAAACTTATAAGCTTACTGTAGGTTTACTTATTTTTTTTACTACAACATAAACTAAAATATAAATATCTTTTTACGATAAGTTACAAAAATCCCAACAAAAACCGTATTTTACAAAACCTTAATTTTCAGAAGTTCCTGGTTGTCCTACTATCACTTGTGTCATTCCACTTGTCTCAAGCCTGTCTAGGCGGAATCGGACAGCCGGCTGGCGGAGGATGTTGTTCAGCACCAAGTGGAGGATGTGGAGCTCAACCACCTTGTGGAGGCGGAGGTTATGGGTAAGTATTTAGTTTTAAAAATGAATGACAAAATGTGTGGAACACGTAGGCTCGTAAAAGAGCTTGGCCGGGCTTTGCTTCGGGCCCGCTACTTGTTTTAGGCCCGGCTCTTGATCCCGCATGTATAATATATCTATACGAGACCGGATCGGCCTGTTTTTTAAAGCTGCTTCGACCCGGCTTCGTCCTATAGCCCGCTTTCTAGTCTACAAATAAAAGATTTATACAGTTATACCCACCTACTTTACCTTACCCTACTCTATCAAAATTTTTTTGGTTAGTTACAGTAAAATTAGCATTTTCCTAATATAAACTAATTTCCAACTGGGTAACATATACTCAAGACAATATTGGAACGTTGCTTTCTTTGTTTTATTTGAGCAAATTTTATCGCCGTTGAGCATTGTTGTTATAGAGAGCAAACAAAAGTAAAATAATATATATCAGACGAGCGAATCTTTAAACATTTCTAAAAAAGGAATGCGAGCAGGTAAAGAGTAGAGAAATAAACATGTTAACATTAGATTTATCTATTGATTACCAAATTTTAAAATTTCAAAAAAAAATGTTTTTTGAAAGATGAAATATATTAAGTTTTTTGATATTGTAGTAGGCTAGAAATGTAAAAACAATAGTTTATACTACACCTACGCTAATTAGCTTCAAAATGGTACAATTTGGCCATATTTACTTCCATATTACGATGTTCAATTAACTATCAGCTCTATTGCATAAAAATCTTTAATCTCAAAATATATAGTTAAAGAGCACATAATTAATTGAACAACCTAATAGTACAATAACGAGTAACATAGTACCATAGCTTTAAAAACGTTACCAATAGTACTAGCTTACCCACTAAAAAGTACTACTAATAACATAATACTCAATAAAATAATGAATTCTTTTTCAGGTACAGTGCACCAGTCGCAGGACCACCTCTCCCCCCTCCTCCACCACCTCCACCACCACCACAGCCAATCCCAGTTGGACCGGCTGGCTACGCGACTCCACAAGACGCCGGCTACGTGCAATACAACCGAGGACGACGATCTCTGTTCAGAAGACGTCGTTCTGTAGTGTAACATTGGAAATGGCATAGCTTTTGATACCTTTTTGTACATTTGAGATTACTTTACTAATATGACATTACTTTAAGGGCATTTGGGTGTTATACATCAGGCTTTATTTTGGTTACAGTAGAAATGAGGTACAGTAGGAATACGTTACAGTATGAATAACTTACAGTAGAAAAAACTTACAGTAAGAATAAGTTACAGTAGCCTACAAAATTATAATCTACTTCAAAGTTTTGTAAAAAATAAGTATACTGTAACATTTTTAGCTTTTGAAAACTACAGTGAGACTTTCAATATTCATACGTTTAAGCCTAGGCTTAAACTTAAACCTAGATTTGGCTTTACAACTGAACATAACAAAAAAATGCATTTTTAGTATTGTAGTTACAGTAACTTTAATACCAAGAGAGTCATGTATAACATAGCAAGTGGCTGTCGCAATATGAAATTATGTGGAATCTCTGTAACCTATTATATGTTTGTAGTTTTATTGCAAATAAATTTCGTCGATTTTGATGGCTTAGAAATTGGTTTGCTAATTGTAAGTTTTGGATCAGAGCGAAAGCACCGCGAATCCACATCGTCGTATCTACTTTTGATGGCTTTTGAATTTACATGAAAATATATATGTCTTGGTTAATATGTAGATTACAAATGTTAGTGCTTTGAGCGATTTTAATACCCTACCCTACCCTACCCTACTCTACCCTACCCTATCCTATTATACCTTGCCCCACCTTACTATGCCTTACCCCTAATTTACCACATCTTACTCTACCTTATTAAATCTCATCTCTACTGTGAAATATCTTGCTTTACTTTATTATATCTTACCTTATTTACCATACCTCATCCTAGCTTGTCATATCTCACCCATACCTTGACATATTTTACCCTACTTTAACAGCTCTTACTCTAGCTTATCATATCTTACTATATCTCATCTTACTTTACCGTACTTTTACCTAAACTGCTCTTATTTTTAGTAGTACTACCTTTATTACTAATCTTAACATAACCATCTAGCACACTTTCAAACAAATTATTTTTTTCTTATTTACTACGCAATACATTTCGTCATTCCTCTTTTTACTTTCTTGTTTTAAAATTTTCCGTGAATTTAAAACTCTTTCCTGTCTGTCGTCTCTCACTTCCCTCACCCATCCTCCACACTATTTCGTCGACTCTCTGCGCGACGGTCGTTAACGGTTGGCTGTCGTTTTCCCTCCAAAAAACATTTTTTAATTCTGATAACGATCTGATTATCGACTGAAGGAAGCCGGCTTGTCGAAGTGAAGAAGAGTCTTCTGAATCACTTTTTTTATATTCTTCAGGGTCTTCATTAACTCGTTTTCATCTTGATTATTATAATTTTCGAATTCGCAACGGATCTTCTTCACAAATTCCATTGTTTTTATGCCTTTTCGACGAGTTTTTATTTATTTCATAAGTTTTGTTGTACCAGAGGTGTGGGTAGGTATGTTAGCTGGGGTATGGATAGGTAAAGGTGCAAAAGTACGGGGTGGTATAGTTGCAGAGGTTTGAGTAATTATGGTAGGTAAATAATGATACTTGTAAGTAGGGATTATTGAAAAAGTAATAGTAACTGTGAGCTGGTTCTGAGAAAGAGCGGATATATTAGTAGTGTTAGTGTTTGGAGCAGTGGTAAGTTAGTACAGATAGAAAAGCAATAATAGTAGTAGTAGTGTTAGTAGTAATAGTAATAGATGTATTAGTAGTAAAGTATTTGTAAAAAAGCAATAGAAGAGGTAGTAGTACTAGTACTAGCCACGTAACAAATATAGTAGTATTAATCGTAATACTGAAGTAACATTAGTAGGAGTGTAGTAATAGTAGCGCTGATATTAGTACAAACAGTAGGAATAGTATTATGTAAACAAATATGAACTTGCGTTTGTCAGTAGTATTAGTGGTATTAATGGGGTAAAATTAATAATAGAAGAATTAGAAATAGCTAGTAGTAGTAGCTCTAACTAATAATGTTAAAAACTTTATATTGAGTGAGCTTGATATTGTTTTCAAATACAATAGTATTGACTTGAGTAAAATACGTTTTATTGTTTTCTTAAATGCTAATGCTAAATTACATTTTTAAAATTTTGTATAGTCTTTTTTTACTAATAGCGGCAACATTAATTTTTTTAAAACTTTATTGACGTTCAAGGAGTATATTCACAATATAAAATTGAAAAAACTTCTTTTTAGTTTAAAGCTTTTTCTAAAATTGTACTTATACTGTGTTTTTAAGTTTAGGTTCTTACATTATTTTAAGTTTTTTAAAAGTTCAGTTTTAAAACACCGTTAAATAGCTACTTTTTTGTGATGTTATGTTCTCGCTTCTTCCCTCTCCTCTTTAATATCGGAACCAATGAGCGAATGGAATGATAACAAATGAGACCTTTTATGTCGCTGTAACTTTCCCTTATATAAACAGCTCGTTTACTCTGATTACTGTACTATTTCTTGTTTTGTTTTTGCTTATTTTGACAAAAACGAAAGTTAAAGTTGACGACGGTTTATTACTAATAAGATGTTATGTTAGATAAGTTTACAAAGTGAAAAAGGTTTTACAAAAAATGTTTGGCACGGTAAAATACGAATGAAAATGCAGTAAGGATTCTTTTTATTTCTTTCCCATATTGTATTCTTTGGCCTACGATCTTCCTCTCTGACATTTTGACTTTAATGCCATTTTAATTTGCATATGTTTCGCGCACTCCCGTTGCAACAATTGGGTCTTAAATCCGTCGGAGAGGCCTGAGGCAAGGGGGAGGATGGTGTTGAAGAATAGCTGCGGCCCATCATCATCGTATGCCATATTCGATGCCCCGTTCCCTGAGGGGAATTGTTTGAACATGGCTGTTTAATTGCGACCTCTCCATGTTCGGATATTAGGGTTGGCGGGCCCTCCGGGGACCGGGCCCGGAGTCGATCATGGGCCGTCGTGATTAATGTTTGGCCGGGATCGAGATATCTCGAGAGCGTCTGGGGTGGATAAATGTCTACCAACGTGCGTTTGTTATGTCGGAATCCGACATTGGGGGTTATTTGCGGCCATTTAGGGGATATGAATTTATATGGATACGGTATTTTTTAAAAGGAGTTATTTTGCAATGGTTTTTTTAGATTTTTACAAAATTAAAGAAGAAAATGATAGTGGGTGACTATAGTAAGTTAAGAATATTAACATAAAGCAATAACGCAAAAACATAGCAGAAAGGAGAGAAGAAAGAGCGAGAAGAGTATAGAGAAGGTAGTGGGGGTACCTCTTTCCAATAAAATTTTTAAAAAATTAAATGCAGTTTTTAAAAGTTAGGTTTTTTGTGTTTGTTATTACATATTCCTACATCTATTAATAGATTTACTTTACCTATGCGTTAAGTTAGCTCTACTCTATTCTTGCTCTAACACTTTCCCAAACCTGTCTTTACCTTACCCTAGCTTTACTTGTTTTTATACTCTAGCATTAGCTTAGCTATAACTTACCCTACCTACTACTTCAAACTTTTTTCTAATTTTAGTTACAGTTCCAACGTGAGCCTAGCCCGGTCATAACATTAACTACTTCTATCCTATTTCAATCTTATTTTCACCCTAGCTCTGCCTTACCACATCTTAACATTACTTTAGCTTTATTCTAGCTCCGCATGTCTTAGTTTTTCTGTAGTTCTAGCTTACAAGGAAAGTTTCTCGCTACAAATTGCTTCACCTTGTCTCTACTTTAAGGTCTCCTAGCTTTGTCTTTCTTTTGTCTCTGTTCCGCTCTAGCTTTACCTTTCTTTAAGTCTAGTTTTTAGTCTTATCTTACAATTATTCTTAAAATATTTTTTCTACAATAACTTTAGCTTTAACTTGTCATACCCTCTAATTTAGACCTTCTTTTAGCATTATGTTAGCCTTAGATCCAGTGTTACCCTACCCTACCTAGCTTTTTCTTTTTTTACTTTACCCTTACCTCACTTATCCTAAGCTTTACTCTAACTGTTTTGATATTACTTTTTGCCACAAAAAAACATAACACAGTCCTAATTCTAGATCACTTTCAAATAAAACCAGTTATGATCCATTAGGTAAAGCTCGACTCAATTAAAAGCCAATTAATCGAAATCAAAGCCAAAGGGAGGTCCATTGACATTCTTTATTGGCATCTGCGAGATCGGCAGACGTTTTTCGCACGATTCAATGATTACTCGAACATTGCTTATAACTTTAATTGCTCATCAGGGTCATGTGGTTTTAAGGGCTTCAAAACTTTGGGATTGGCGCTATAAACATAGGGCTCTAATAAATGGCTGCGGGGTTATATAGGCTACATTTTTTGAAAAGAGGGGAAGGGGGGGGAGAAAGTAGGAGATGGGGGGGGGGCATAAAGGTAGGTTTATGGGGGTGGATGAGTAAAAAGCTTTTTTAGCAGGACGTGTTTTAGGGTAGGCGTGGGTACCACAAGCAACAAAACAGGGTAGAATAAGGTTTTTAAATTTTTTTGTGAAAGAGTCCTTTTTTAATTTTTTTAAAATTTTTCAGCTTTTTTGCACTTTCTCCCGTTGTTAAGTCCTCCTATATTACCCACTTGGAAATAATCTTAAAATATATTTTTTTTTAATTTTAAAATATTCAAATTTAAAATAAAATTATTTTTTCAATTTTTTTTACCGTACCCCCTCCCCCCCCTCCCTTATTTATTTACGTTGATTATTTCGAATCTTAATGTGTTTATTACCGTACGGGCGGCACTTGTCGGAAATGTTAACTTGATTTACAATTATTATCCTTAAACGGGGGCTTAATGTCTTTTTGAGGCTTATTATCCCGAGAAGGGGGGGGGACGTCTTTTGTTTATATTTTGCCGCTCCAAACTAAATAAAGGAAACGGCCTGCGGGTCTTTTCTCTAAACTTGCCGCCATACGGTCATTTGATTAAACAAGGATTCGAGGCTGATTTTACTGTGTAATCGGGTTATGGTAAAGTGAATTAGGGAGTAGTA